ATCCAAAATATTGTGGATGTTGCAAATCTGAAACAAGACAGATAATGCTGGAGAAGCTCAGCAGGTCTGGAAGTGTCTGTGGTGAGAGTTACAGAGTTAATGCTTTGGGTCCGGCATGATTCTTCTTCAAAGTGGTCTTCATACATCTTATTTTGACTACATCTGCAACACTTTGCACTTACTTAGAACAAAGAACAAAGAAGAACACAACACAGGAATAGCCCTTTCGGCCCTCCAAGACTGCACCAACACCTTGTGCCCTTCCATATTAAAACTGTCTTCACTTAAAGGATCCATATCCCTCTATTCCCTTCCTATTCATGGACTCGTCCAGGCGGTTCTTGAACTTTGCTATTGTGCTTGCTTCTGCCACCTCTTCTGGCAGCGTGTTCCAGGTGCTCACCACCCTTTGTGTGAAAAACACACCTCACACATCTCTTTTAAATTTCCTCTCTTACACCCTGAAACTGTGTGCCCTAGTAGTTAACCCCTCCAACTTGGGAAGAAGCTTCTTATTTTCCACTCTATCTATGCCATTCACAATTTTATCAACTTCTATCAGATCGCCATCCAAGCTTCTTTCAGATTACCCCTCAACCTCCTGCATTCCAGTGATAAAAAGCCCAATTGATCTAATCTTTCTTCATAGCTGAAACCTTCCAGACCAGGCAACATCGTGTTAAACCTCTTCTGTACCGATCCAAAGCATCCACATCCTTCTGGTAGTGTGGTGACCAGATCTGTACGTAATATTCCAACTGTGGCCTAAATAAAGTTCTACAAAGCTACAGCATAACCTGTCTATCCTTATATTCAATTCTCCTTCCAACAAAGGCACGCATGCCATAGGCCTTTTTCTTTACTACCTTATCTACCTGTGCTGGCACATTCAAGGATCTGTGGACCTGCACAACCAGATCTATCTGCAAATCAATATTCCTAAGGGTTCTGTCATTCGCTGTATAATTTCCACCTGTACCTAACCTTCCAAAATGCATCCCCTCACATTTGTCTGGATTAAACTCCATCTTCCATTTTTTTTTCTGCCCATGCCTCCAACTGATCTATATCCTGAGGTATCCTCTGACAATCCTTCTCACTATACGCAACTGCACCAATTTTTGTATCATCTGCAAACTTACTAATTAGACCAGCTACGTTTTCCTCCAAATCATTTACGTAGATCATGAAAAGCAGAGGTCAAAGCACTGATCGCTGTCGAACACCACTAGTCACAGGCCTCTATATCAAAAACAATCCTTCCACCCTCTTCTCCGATGACTAAACCAGTTCTGTATCTATTTTTCCAGCTCACCCCTGATGCCACGTGAATTCAACCGTTTGTACCAGGCTCCTATGAGGCACCTTGTCAAAGGCTTTACTGAAGTCCATGTAGACAACTTCAATCGTTTCTCCCTCATCAATAATCTTCGTCACCTCCTCAAAAAACTCATTCAAGTTAATGAGACACTACCTCCCCTGCACACCCATGTTGTTTATCGCTAATCAGTCCATCTGCTTCCAAATTCTTACAGGTAATTTCCAATAATTTTCCTAGCACTGACGTGAGGCTCACAGGCCTGTAATTTCCTGGATAATCCATGTTACCCTCTTTAAACAAGGGGATTTGCTATCCATTTGCAGCCATTTGACCAGCATTGTGGAAACAACCTGTCTCCACAGAGTTTAATTAGACTATGATTTCACTCAGTGCGTAGTTCTGGTTTCCATATCCATTGGTCATACAACACTTGCAACACTGTGTTCGGTTCTGGCCTCCAAAATCAGCGATTATACCAGACTTAGACATGTGCGTAGACCTCAGTTTACTCTGAGTAGCCAACACTGCTAGCAATGACCACATGAGACAATGCTCCAGCAATATGACCGAGGACCTGTGCAGCAGAAAGAACCTCACCCCTGCCAAGCTGATCTCGGACTGTTACAATTCGGGCATGTAGGCAACAATGTGGAAAAGTGAAACAAAAACAGAACTTTTGCAAAGCTCAGCAGGTCTGACAGCATTTATAAAGAGAAGTCAGAGTTAACGCTTGGGGTCTGGTAACCCTTCCTCCGGATGTGGAAAGGTGATCTGCTATGTTGTCTTCACTAAAAGCAGGACAAATCCATCTTGGCCATTCACCACCCAATCGTCTTCTCTCGATTAGTAGCATGTAATGGAAGAGGCCATTGACAGTGCACCCAAGATAGCCCTACAAAGATTGAAACTTCTTCATCAGGTCCTTAACACATTGCGTCCTTCTTCCAAAAGAACTGAACTCCAGGCATTAGCTAGGTGCGACTGCCCTTCTATATAAAGGCAGCATTTGAGCATGGCAGCAAAGGTCCCAATAAAATGGGCTCTGGGTGAATCAGAGTGTAATTGTCTTCGCTGGTTGGAGTCATACCGAGAAGATAGGACAAAAATTGTAGCCATTTTAAATCAACCATTGCAGGCCCACGACATCAACTGCAATACCTCCTTGGAGTAGTGGACCCAATCATGTGCAGTTGCTTCATCAATGTTGTTCACTCCATCATAAACTAAAAAAAAATATCATAGCTGGATAGAGCAGATAGGGAGAAATTCGTAATAGGAAGGACAACATAGGTTTAAAGTGATGCGATTGTGAAACAAAGATGATGTGAGAAAAGAAGCTTTTTCACACAGCGAGTAGTTAGGGTGTGCAATGCACTGCCTGAAAAGTGGGAGAAGTAGAATCGATTCAGAAGCATTCAGGAGGGGCATTGGATAGTTATTTGCATGGAAATAGTGTGCAGGGATACGGGGAAAAGGCATGAGATTGGCACTAGGCGATAGCGTCGGTGCAGGAACAATGGGATGAATAAACTCCTTCTGCACTGTTCCAATTTTACGATAGAGGAATGATTGCTGAAGCTTGTATAACCTTGTGCACTATTCAGAACTACGCAGGTACTGACGTGCAAGTCTGATGACCTTTACCAGTTAGAAGGACAAGGGCAGCAGATATAAGGGAACAACACTCTCTGCTAATTCCCCTCCAAGCCATTCATCATCCTGATTTGGAATTATATTGCTATCCCTTTAGTGTTGCTGTATCATCAACCCGAAACTCTACTTAGAATTCTATGAACAGTTTTAAGCTCTTTATCTATGGAAAGATAAACAGGCACTGAAGGCAGTTTAGAGGAAGTACACTAGGTTGATTCCAGACAGGGAAGGATTGTCTTTTGAGGAGAGGTTGAGTAAATTGGACTTGTGCACATTTCAGTTTAGGAGGAGAGCGTCCTAATTAAGACTTACAAGGTTCTTTGCAAACTTGACAGGAAGATTTGGAAAGGTTGTTTCCCCTTTTTGGGACAGTCGAGGACCAGAGAGCGTAATTTCAGAGTAATGAATTGTTCATTTAAGACACATATGAGAAGGAGGGTAGTGAATCTTTGAAATTTTGTTTTTCCTGCTGAGAACCGTCGAGTCTGAGTCATTCAACATATTCAGACTGAGATGGACAGATTTGTAATGAGGCAGAGAATCAAAGGTTATGGGAAAAAGGGCAGGAAATTGGACTTGATCATTATCAGATCAACCCTATCTCATTGAATGGCAGAGCAAACTCGATGGGCTGATTGGGCTACCTCTGCTCATATATCTTATCGACTTGTATTCTTTCGCAGCAATTTCAAAACGCAACTTCAAAATGACTCTATGGTACATTTCATCTCATAAATGGTGGATTGCCACTTGTATCAGTAGGAGGCGCTGAAGGCTTATTGCGATAGAGCGCCGAGACGTTTGGACAGAGATTGATAACATAAGAGCAACTCTAGCAGTCTCATGGAGCAAATCTGCAGCCTCTTCACTGATTTTTCACTTTGGCTATTTCCACAAATGACTTAAGATTGCTTGTTTACAGGGCCATGGTGCATGCCCTTCTTGTGATTGACTAAAGTAGACGCTTGTTTAATATTGAAGAGGATACCAAAAATAGAAAGACAAAGGTGGGCGAGGAAAGGCGTGAAAGGAAAGATTAGCGGTTTATCTGCAGAAGATATATAGTTAAATCTTGGCACATTTGTACTCTTGACAAAGACATAATTTGTTGATGATCCTGAATGCGTCTAAATTGAATGTCTATTCTCATACCATTTCAGAGATATATTCACTATAGGATTGGAATCACCTTGTTGAGATATATTCACTATAAGATTGGAATCACCGTGGAAAAAGTGTACAATCCTGCCCTATTGCACTTTGTACAGGGTGCACATTCGTACCCCATTGCACTTTGAAATTGTGCAAACTCCTGCCCCATTACACATTGTAGATAGTGCACACTAGACCTTACACGTGCTGAACTTTATAGATATTGCTCACTGAACCTCTTTTATGGTGCATACTTCATCTTGTAAATGATGAACATGACACTTTGTATATGATGCACACTGGATTTTGTACATTGTGCACACTGCGTTTTGTGGATGGTGCAAATTCCTGGCCCAGTGCAACTTATGGAAGATTCACATCATGTTTTGTATATGGTGCCTACTTCACCATGTAGATGATGTACAATGCACTTCGTAGATCGTGTACTCTGACCCTTGTAGATCTTACACTGATCCAGGCTAGTTTGAAAATTCCAAAGCAGCCCTGCTTTATGCTTTACACATGTTCGACTGTAATTGTAGAGCCGAGCTCTTACTTCACTATAGGATTCTCAACGTCTCAGCCCTTATATAGCTATAGAATTGACATGGCTTTCTCACCCAGTTTCTGGTCAATAGAAGTTCCCACAATATTAACGAGCAAGCTGACTGACATTAAATGTCAAGGGGCGTTGGTTAGATCCTCCCTTTAGGAAATTGGTAATTTCTTGGCACTTGATGACTTTTGCTGGAGTAGTTACATGAACACTTGATTTTTTGGGGTGGACTGATGCCACTTCCTGGATTGGAGGTGGGGGTGTGGCGGGGAAGTCAGGACAGAGGTAGAGGTCGTGTTAGTTGCATTGAGACAATCTCCAGAGCAGTAGCAGCGTGCAGCATTTTTGCCTTCCTGATAAAACGGCTTAATAAGTCAAAACCAGGACAAGATTAAATCCTGAACTGCAAAGGGAGTCGCTGCTGATTTAAACCTTGCTGGAGGATGCTTTCGAGTTCATTGCAGTTTACAGTTCTCTTACTGATTCCATGTAAGAATCAATAATAGAGAACAATAAACTTACGTTATCCTTAATTATAAAAAATGTCTTACTTTTACATCGAGAAATCGTAGGTGGTTTGAAACATCTGCAGTGAAATTACCTCAACATTGTAGTGCGTCCACATTGTGTATCTATATTTTACGTAAATTGAAAGGCTTGCTTAATATAAAGTCTTCTTTAAGATGATTTTTAAGTTGCAGTTCTTTCACGGGATGAAGGCGTCTTTTGCAAGAAAATTATTTCTCAACGACTTTGTAGCTTGTCCATATTAACGAGGTTATCTCTGAGTTTATTAACCCGTAAGTACATTCTCCATGATCTAAAAGCGGGACGAGTGTGGGTGTCTGACTGAATGAATCCATTGATCTGCTTATCCGACTTTTGCAGGCAGTGTCCAGGGAGATCTGCTGTATCAGTGGCCTCGCCAGGTCGTCTCTGAAGAAGGGAAATCGGTCGAGTTCCATTGCTATCAAAATGGAACAGTCCGGGACAACATGTTCTGGTACCAACAGAGATCTGGGCAGGCACTCACTTTAGTTGGGTACTTTTACAGTGGCGGAAAGCCTGAGTATGGAGATGGGTTCAAAAATGGATTTGACATCAGCCGGACCAGCAATGACAGAATGTCAAAGCTCAAGGTGGAGAGAGTGCTGTTAAAGGACACGGCGATCTATCACTGCGGGACTGGAGATAGGGCACAGAGCTACAAACTCATCTGGCACCGTGACAAAAAGAAACCCGCCGCAGTCAATCAACCCAGATCTACTTCCTTCGTTTCAAATCACCTAGTTTCAGTCGCCTACGCTTCGATTTAAAACTTGTCCTAAAACAAAACAAATCAAAACTGTTTCCAGGGATGAGAAACTTAATTAATGTGGATAGATTGAAGAATTTGGGACAGTTCCCTTTTGGAAAGAAGAAGGCTGAAAGGAGATCTAATAGCAGTTTACATTGGTGGAAACTGATGAAAAAATAAATTGTTAATTTCCAATCTGTGACTTGTGATCCAAAAGGCATGAAAAAATATGAATTGAGTTCACGTTCCATGGCTGAATGTGGGGGAAAGGGGCATGCGTTAAGGTATGGATCAGTCACATTCTTATGGTGCAGCGTGATGAAGAACGAACAGCCTCGCTCCTAATTCTGTGCTCGATTTGACAATGTTTTCTTTTCATAAAAGTAGCATTCTTTCAGAGGATATTTTTGGTGACTTTGCTTAACTTCCTTATCCACTTTAATATCCACCCTCCACTCCCAACCTTTCCACTACTCTTTGCATGTGGAAGTATTTCTAACAACTCTCCTGAACGGCCTAGCCCTAATTCTTAGACTGCTCCAGAGGAAATGGTTTATCTTTATTTAACATGTCTTTCCGTGTTAACATCCTAAAGACTTCGAATGGATCACCACCTCAACCTTCTAAGTTCTTGATAATAGAAGCAGAATTTGTCTAATTTTTCTTCATAACTAAAGCCCTAAAATCCAAGTATCATTCTTTTAAACCTGTGTTGAACTCCCATCAGGGCCATAACGTCCTTCCTACTGTGTGGTGCCCAGGTCTGCTTACAGTACTCAAGTGGAGACTAACAAAGGTTTTCTATAACTGCAGCAAACAATCTGAATCCTTATATTCCAGCCTTTTAGGTATGAAGGCCAGCATTCCGAAACCTCTCGACTATTTTGTGCACCTATTTGTGGCATTTTAAAAACAAAGCTATGCCCTGAACTCTTGTCGAACATTCACTGTATTTAAATTTGTGCCTTCTAAAACATACCTTGATCTGTGCTTTGTTTTCTGCCTGCAATGGATCGCCTCACACTTGTTTTTATTAAAATCCATCTGTCATTTTTCTTTTCCCATTCAACTAATCTATCGATATCCTATTGGAATCTTGTACCGCCATTAAAACTGTCAGACAATACTGCCCAATTTGTGTCATCAGCAAATTTGGATATGGGAGTTTTTATGCCATTACAAAATTCGCTAATCAATATTGCGAGTACTTGAGACCTCAAAACGGATCTTTGTGGGACACCACTACTTGTGTGCTATCAATTTGAGTAATTACCCATTATTCAGACTTACATTTTCCTGTCACTCAACCAATTTCCTGTCCACGTCAGTAATTTGTCCTCGGTTCTGTGGGGTTCCACCTTTACTAACTGTCTCTTGTGTGGGACCTTATCAAAGGCCTTCTGAAAGTCCCCACAAACAACATCCATCGACTTATCTCTGTCCACCACCTTTGTCACCTCTTCTTGTCAGGCACGACTTACCCTTCATGAATCTATGATGACACTCCCTGATCAACTGAAACTTTTTGAGGTGATCAGTTACCCTTTACATGCTAATGAACTCCAAAAAAGTCCCCATCACAGATATTATGTTAACTGTCCTCTAATTACTGATTTCTCTCTGTCACCCTTCTTAAAGAGTGGGGTCAGATGAGCAAATTGCCAATTCAGAAAAACTGAATCCACGGAAATCTGAAAGATTTTGGTTAGTGAATCGACAATGTATTTTCCTACCTCTTTTGACACCCATGGATGGAAACCATCAGGATTTTAGGACTTGTCCGTCCTCAGTTTCTCAGGTAGACCACATCCAAAGCACTGAGTGCAGACATTGTGTTCGTATATACCTTGGGGTTATAACATATCTGTAGTATTGATTCTGATCCTGGTGTTCATATTCCATGATTGGATCCCACTAGAACAATTGCCCTGGGCTGCACTTGATGCTAAACACTTATGTCTGTCTATCAAATCACTCCCACTCTTGAGCATTCCTTCTCCATTTTGTGCATAAGGTGTCTTCTCAGTACACAGTAAGCATCACTGCTGGATTTTGACATCGAATTTTGCACTTTTATGCTCTTTCTACTGCAAACTATTTATCTTGGTTTGGGTACAGAGTTGGCACTGGGCTTGAGTGTGGTGGAGGGGTTTACTTCTAGGAGCAGGATTCAAACCAGTGGCGTTTTCACTCAGATACAATGAGTGCTACCACTTAAGCTATGTGGTGGTACTGTGTCTTTAAGAGAGATACGTCCTGTTCTATTTCTCTTGCATACAGGTGTTGCCACAGTGGTACTGCAATGTCACCTTCAGACAGGCAGTTGGTAAACAACTTTTGAGTTCACTCTGGGAATTTTTTTGCAATAAGACAAAATAAACATTAATGGATAGGATGTGATCTCACACAGGCGCAGGAAGGTATTTAAGTATTTTTTTTAGTTAGTGACAAGTTTTCTCTGGCTGGCTGCTGTAACTAGCATCTCTCTCTGTCTGTGCTGAGTGGGAAGACAGCACATGAGAAAAAAGAACAAAGGACAAAGAAAATTACAGCACAGGAACTGGCCCTTCGGCCCTCCAAGCCTGCGCTGATCCAGATCCTCTATCTAAACCTGTCGCCTATTTTCCAAGGATCTGTATCCCTCTGCTCCCTGCCCCATTCATGTATATGTCTAGGTACATCTTAAATGATGCTATTGTGCCCGCCTCTACCACCTCCGCTGGTGCATTCCAGGCACCGACCACCCTCTGTGTAAAGAACTTTCCACGCATATCTCCCTTAAACTTTCCCCCTCTCACCTAGTAATTGAGTCCCCCACTCTGGGAAAAAGCTTCTTGCTATCCACCCTGCCTATACCTCTCATGATTTTGTAGAACTCAATCAGGTCCCCCCTCAACCTCCGTCTTTCTAATGTAAATACTCCTAATCTATTCAACCTCTCTTCATAGCTAGCGCCCTCCATACCAGGCAACATCCTGGTGAACCTCCTCTGCACCCTCTCCAAAGCATCCACATCCTTCTGGTAATGTGGCGACCAGAACTATATGCAATATTCCAAATGTGGTCGAACCAAAGTCCTATACAACTGTAACATGATCTGCCAACTCTTGTACTCAATACCCTGTCCGATGAATGAAAACATACCATATGCCTTCTTGACCACTCTATCAACCTGCGTTGCCATGTTCAGGGTACAATGGACATGAGCACCCAGATCTCTCTGTGCATCAATTTTCCCGAGGGCTTTTCCATTGACCGTATAGTTCGCTTTTGAATTGGATCTTCCAAAATGCATCACCTCGCCTTTGCCTGGATTGAACTCCATCTGCCATTTCTCCGCCCAACTCTCCAATCTATCTATATTCTGCTGCATTCTCCGACAGTCCCCTTCACTATCTGCTACTCTACCAATCTTAGTGTCATCTGCAAACTTGCTAATCAGACCATCTATACATTCCTCCAGATCATTTATATATATCACAAAACAACAGTGGTCCCAACACGGATCCCTGTGGAACACGAAACAACAAGGTGCAGAGCTGGATGAACACAGCAGGCCAAGCAGCATCATAGGAGCAGAAAGGCTGACGTTTCCGGCCTAGACCCTTCATCAGAAATGATTTCTGATGAACGGTCTATGCCCGAAAC